GCAGTTTGTTTTGAAAGGAGATTACGCTGCGTACGCTGCATTGTTTTGAACTTACAAAGATGGCGGCAGGCCCGATAAGCTCCGCCCTTTCGGCTTCAACTTGGTTGGAACTGTTGAGCGGGCGACGCAACGTTAGGGCCTCTCCCTATATAGTTACTCCAAGGAAATAACCCATTCTGTGACAAAGCTCCACTCGTGTGGTTCCTGGGGCCCTGTCCAAGAGACAGGGGAGCAAAGAATAGGACCACTGTATCCGTACCGTGCATGTCGTAGAAGGCAACTAAGGTCGGTTGGGCAAAGGGTTAGCAGCCCTTTCTCGTAAAACAAAACAAAAAAAACCCAGCTACAAAAACATCAACAGTAAAAACAACACGACCGCCAGTTCAGGAAGTTGGAGGACCTTCATCACTGAAGAGAGGAGAGAAAATACATCTTGGAAACAGCTAGAAAAGGATGCCCAGGACAGCCTTCGCTGGAAATATGTTATTGATGGCCTATGCTCCCCAGGGAGTTAAAAAAGGCAAGAGAGAGTGACAAAGCTTGAATCTGCAAGACTGTATTGATTGAACGGCCCTTCGACGTTCTAGAAAGGATACACACTGAGGATTCGAAAGCTCTTCGTGTATTATTATAATATTTCTTTGTACTGTTGTGGGGTTATCTTTTTAGAGGGGGGAGGGTGTCATTCATTCATTCATTCATTCATTTATTTGTTCATTCAATTGTTCATTCATTCCTTCATTCATTCGTTCATTCATTCCTTCATTCATTCCTTCATTCATTCATTCATTGTTGGTCAAGGAAAAGAACAGAAAAAATCCGGGCTCACTTGTTTGAGCAGCCCACAGTGTAAACATCAACACGCTATTGAGCGCAGCTGTGTAGAAGAAGCTAGAGAGACAGATACAAAAGAGATAGTTTAGTTTTAGTAGAAGTTTTATGGCGCTCGCAACTGCATAAGGTCATATGAGCGCCAGAAGATTAGAGGTGTTATAAGAGAGTAACAAACATAAAAAAAGAAGGAGGGGAGATAAGGACGATAGATGTTTGATAGGGAAGAAGAAGCAAACCACACCAGAGCACCCGCCAACCACCCACAAAGACAAAAGAGAGATTATCATCGAGAAGAAGAAGAAGAAAAAGAAAGCCGCACAGCCGGACTCACACAAGTGCTTGTCCGTGGGCGTTGTCCAAGAACTCTGGACCGTGCAGAATGAGGTCCTGGATCATATCAGCGCACAGGGTATATTCGGGGGGCTTGCCCCGCCCCTCTTTGCGAACGCTCGACTCTGATTGGTTGTCTTGTGGAGGTGGACAGCCTTCTGTGGGCGGGGCTTTGATGGAATGTGGGTGTGGAGGCTTTTGGGCGATAAAGTCTGGGATGGAGGATTGGGGGTGTGGTTTG